GCCTTCACATCTCTATAATATGTATCCTTTTTGAGATGGAGCAACCAAAAATGTACAAAGTATTTCAGTGTGGTCACACCATAGATGGGTATAAATGCTGTATGATATGGGTAGCTTTGTTTCTGACCCCCTTCCTAATGTCTCTCCAACCCTGATAGGCTCACCTCTGTTTTACTTTTGTCATGGTTTGCTTAGGGAGTCCACTAATACACAGAAACAGCTTTTAAATTTTTAAAAATAAATTTAAAAAATTATTTTAAAAAATAAAGTCAATGACTGGACTCTCTATCTCTTTCAGAAAATTAATCAGAAATACTTGACCAACAAAGAGGAATTCAGTACACTTCAGAAACTTGTCCTCCACGAAGTGAACAATGAAGAGGCCAAGGTTAGACACTCGGCCACAGAGGCCCTCCTGTGGCTTAGAAGGTAAGCTGCTAAACACTTGGAACCCAGTCGAAGGCCGAAAGAGTTACTCAGATGGCATCATCAACAGCATATTCATTTCTGAGCAGAGTCTATCAAGCTCAAATAGGGCTGTCTTTCCAACTGCAGTGCATCCCTTGTCATGCTTACCTGATTAGGTTCACAGGGTTGGTAAGGGTGCCTTTCTTGCTCTTCATACGCTTTTTGGAAGCCCTGCATGCTGCTCTCAGGCCTCTCTGCACACAGATGGCACACAGACTTTCAGCCTGACAGCACTTCCTAAAACATCCTATTTCCACACTGTCTAAAAGAACAGATGCATTTCCAGAAAATAGATTTGCACCAAATGTGTGCCTGTTTCTTTCATAGCTAGTGTTGCACATTTAGAAACAATTGTTATAATTTAAATAGAAATACAGTGCAAATCACTTTAAAGGGGGAGACTGGGGCCAGGTGGCCCATGCATTTGCCTGTTCAGTCCTCTATTTGGTTGAAGCACAGTTTCAGGCCGCCGCCGCCTCCTCCTCCTCCTCCTGGGACTTTATTTTTCAACCAGATTTAGACAACACAGACCTTAAAATGGAAGACACCTTCAAACAGAGGACTGTTCCCTGTGAAACAGGACACATGGCCACTCTTACGGGCTGGGAGTCTGTGTGTGGGAGGCCCTGCAAGTGCATGTGCATTTCTAAAGCCTTCAGAGTAACAACGGGCACTGTTGCACTTACACCTTAGACACAGCCAGTTCCTGCTGGGAGCAGTGAGGGGCATTTTGCCTGCAGGTGTCCTGCCCCAGCAGGACTTCCTTGAATGCCCATATGACTGCAAAAGAACTTGCATCGCTGCAAATATTGAAGAGCACCAGCATCCTCTTGGACACCTTGCACCGTGAAGAAGGTTAAGTGCAAAATTCACCACTCCCCACAAATGCCTTTCACATTTTCTCAAGACACAAACCTGAGAAAATGCAAAATTGGGAAGCGAGTTTTAGCCTGCCTCTACTTGATCGGGGGAACTTTTCTTTGTTTTGAAAAGAATGTTACTTGTTTAAATAGGCACTCCACTCACCACCACCTGCTTTTGCTTGCCTGTTGCCCTCAGGGCAGATGCTCGCAAGCTTCCAAACTCAGAGGCTTACATGCTCCCAGTGCAAGGCATAAAGCTCAGCAGCAGCAATTGCTGCTGCACCTCACACCCTGCATTTTCTTTAGGCAGCTGTTTCCCCCTGATTAAGTACCAGGGAGGGGAATGAAGGTAGGCTGTGACATTCATGGGAATTGGCATAAATCCTCAGCTGTAACTTCCTCCTCTCCCTGCCCTGGCATGACCCTCCTTCTCTCCTGCCAAGGCCCAGTCGCAGCCACCAGGGTGTGCAGCCAGTTTGGTCCTTTCTGTGGCGGCTCTTTGGGGGTGGATGGAGTTGGCTTTTGGTGTCCTAGTTCTGAGATCATAGCCTCTTCAAACTGGCCCCCCAAGGAATGGTATGGACACCCAGGAAACATCAGAAAGCCCTAAGATTGTGCCCTTAGTTGCCAGTGTTTACAATTAATGAATGCAGTTTACAAAATGAGGAACAGTTTACAAATAACCTTGTGGAACTGTAGGGTTGGAAGCCACCTCAAGCACCAATGCTTTGCTGATGTGGAAGAGCTCCCGCTGTAGCATCCTTGATACAGGATTGTGGAGTCCGATTCATAACTCAATAAGCATTGCATAATAGAACATCTGCATCGCATTAGCCATGTCTTCTTTTTACAACTGTATTTTAAAGAAACAATTCAAAGTGGTAATCCTCCCTTTAACGCCACTATTTTGTTCCCAACAGGGGTTTAAAGTTTTTGAAGGCATTTTTGACAGAACTACGGAATGGAGAGAAGAACATTCAAACAGCACTGAGTGAGTACAGAATATTTTGTGAAAAAATACAGCACATCAAAATCCAAACTGGGGTGAGGGCGGGACATCTGTCTTCTCTGATTCTTTTTTCTCATGAACATGTGTGCCAAGGGAGAGGAGAGTTTATCATGGAAACCAAACTTGGACATTAAACACATTTGTGTTCAGAATAATAGGTGGCTTTTTATTTCTTTAAGTCTGTTTGGCTGTCTCTGCAGCCTCCTGCCAAATTACCTTCCTTTCTTTTGATTGCAGATAATGCTTACGGCAGAACCTTACGGCAGCACCACAGCTGGGTCGTCCGCGGCGTGTTTGCAGTGAGTCAGTACTGCTTTCGAAAGCTCTGCTGTAGGGCAGAGGGAGTCAAAGAGGCAGGCAATCCAAAGCCCTGCTGGCTCTCACCAGCCAGGACAGGAGATGTAGTGGCAAAATTCCTCTGGTGATGTCAGTGATGCTTCTTGGTCTATACTCTAGCCTGGCTTAGCTTAGGGTTAGGAGTCTCTCACTGGAACCAAGGGGCTTTGAAGTGAGGGGATCCAAGGCCGTCTCCACTCCTGCCCTCACTCCATTTCAGAGCCTAATCTGGACAGCTTCCTGCACACATACCATAGAAGGATGGAGTTGGAAGGGGACATTTAAGCTATCAGGTCCAACTCACTGCTCAGTTACCAAGGGCTTACATACCACCCCACTTACACAGAGCTCTCCTCTGCATCAGAGGGCAACAGCGCCCCATCCATAGCCCATGTGGCTGGTGCATTTATGAGTTTGGATTGCAGTTCCTGCTGATGATGCTGTCACTGTAAAAAAAGAGCCCACATCTTTAATCTATTCAGTTTATAAGTCACATACACACACTGGGTTCACTTTTGTGTATTGAAGTGTAACTGCCTGCCTTTCTGGTCTTTGCCTGGCAAGTTGTTCTCATGGTCACAGCTGGCAGAAATACCCCGGTGTATCTCCTCTTTGTCTGCAAATCTCTCAAAAGTTTACCAGCATTGACTTTGGGCAGGTGGATGGGTTGGCTTAGGGAGTGGATGGGGGCTGGCTACTCAGGGGGACAAAGCATGATCACAGTTAGCCTTCCTGACGCCCCAGTGTAATACTGTTAGCAGAGAAAGCTATAGAGATCTCTGGGAATGCTGGGTAGGATTTTTCTCTTCCTTTCCTCTCTTCTGAGCCCAGATTCTTTGCACTTTAAGATGGCATCACCCTCTGCTGTTTAAGGTGAGAAATGATGCTGGGATCCTAGATATAGTTTCTTCTTTTTGGGATTTGATGAAGGGTTTTTTGTACTATTTTTTACGCTTCTTAAAATGTCCTGTACTTCCTCCTTCTTTGACTCTGCAGCAGAATCAGGAAGCTTGTGGACTTGACATGGTAGCACAAAACTTGTCTGAGAAATAGTAGCCTGCTAGATCATCCCTACAGCACTGCAGTCACAATGGCAACAGGCTGTGCGTGTTTTCTGTTTAGACAGAAAAAGGCCTGGGGATGCTGGAAGATACAAGATTTTTTTCCTGTCTGAGTGTGCATAGGATTGAACCTTGAATGTTTCTGCACTTTGAGAAGCATAACATTAAATAGTGGATGCCATAAGAGGGGTTGTTAACCCTTTTAACATAAGGGTTAAAAAACTGTTACTTGTCAGAGGAAAATAGAAAATTAGACTGCATACACTTCACACTAAAATCCTTCTACATCTGTGAATTTGACTGCTGGATGTGATTAATTGATTCACCTTATGAAATATATTTTCTTCCCATAAGCTTTGAGCCAAGATAAATTGGTCAGTCTTTGCTAGGTTGCACAGTTATACAAATATGAAATTTAACTTTTTACCTCTCCCTCATCTTTAATACTGGATGGATTTGAATGTAATTTTAATGAAGTTTTTAAAATTTGTATTACATTTATTGTGGTTTACCCAGAGAGCTTCCGCTGTGGGTAGTATAGAAAGAAAATGAATAGATAACTGGGATATTTGTTTGTTTGTTTATTGCATTTCTGCCCTGCCTTTTTTCCTCTTGCAAAGAAGCCAAGGCAACCTACATGGACCTTTTTCTCTCCCTTTTATCCTCACAACGAGACTGTGAGGTAGATGAGCCTGAGAGTGAGTGACTGGTCCTTTCAGTGAGCTTCAGGGCTGAGTGGGGACAAGAGCCCAAATCTTCAAAGTCTCAGTCCAACATTGTAACCACTACACAATCCAGGCTGTCAGAAATACATGGAAATAAATAGATCCCGTACAATTAGTGGATGATGTTGACCTTCTTTCTTTCCTTCTGCAGCTTGCGTTAAAGGCATCTCCCACCTACGAAGGCTTCCTGGCTGCACTGTGTGTTGATGGATATGACCCTCAGGACGAAGCTTTTTATAATGGAATGCAAAGGGACCTTGATATCTACCTTCCAGCCATGGAGAAACAGCTCAGCATCTTGGACGCACTGTATGAAGAACACGGCCTGGAGTCAGACGAAGTGGTGTGACCTCCAGCTGAATCAGTGCCTCGCAAATTCAGGGATTGTGTCTGTTAACATAGCTTCTTTTCTAGAAGGCTATTTGTGTTTGTGTTTTTCCATACGTGGGAAGGGACACAACGCTTCCTTCTTTTTTATACACATTTTTTTAAAAGTGCTTGTTTCTGTTTAAATGCAAAGGTGCTATGTAATTGGAGAAGATTGTGCCTACCTTTAGGGCAAGTCCCTGAAGCCGCACCTCGTGGCAGTCACTCTGTGGCAGGCCAGCCGGGGCACTGGCTCCAACAGCTGATGCTACGGAGCCCAGTTCAAACCTGCAACTGCAAAACCCAGTCTGGATTTGCCAGCCCCGTGTCCCACGCAGGTGATTGTCCACTCAAGTCTTTCTCGTAAGTTAAGTCATAACCAGAAAGCAGGGACTCATGTCACAACTACCTCCCCACGCACATGGGTGTGCACACACACTATTACTGACTTCATCACTACAGGCTGAAGCAGTTGCTTGGCTGTATCTGCCACAGGTGTGCATCTGTTTGCAGCGGCTGCAGACCATGATGGTGGCTGACCTCATAATATAGTCAAGGTTGGGGCAGGAGCATCCCAGGTTTCCAGTGTGGCATTTTGATGCTGACTCAGAAGAATTGGCAGGCCGTGATTGGTCCTGGATCACCCGTTTGCAGTGCAAATAGGTGTGTGTTGGAGGCGTTTGTACCTGTCTATGAGGGGCTTTGCTGTGAGATGTGTGGGAAGCTGATGCTGGAAGAATGCACCAGTTCACCCAATATTTTCCAGTGCAGATGCTCCCTGATGCTCAGACAGACGCAGTGCAAGTCCTCATGCCAGCCAAGAGTGTGAGCCCCGACTGCCTCGCACCTCCTCCCCCTTGCAGGACAGTGCCGCTGGCCCTTCCCTTGGGGTGTGCATGCCACTGTCCTCTTCCCATCACTGCTCTGCTAGTGCTCTGGAGAGCCATGTGGCTGGCCGAGCGCTTACAAGAACCTCTCCAGCTGCCCGGCCTCCTCTGTGGCTCCCCATCCCTTGCCGGAGGATTCGAAGCAGGAACCAGAGGAAGGGGGCTGAGAACAGCTGCCCATCTCTAAGCATCCCCACAGAGCAAAATAAAAGGCAGGTAGCTTCCTTCCTGTGACATGTGGCACAGTTGGAAACTGGGATCAGGAGGCCTTTGGGAATACTGGCTGGAATCACGGCTTGGAATAGCCTCGCCGGTGTTTCCAAAGTGGTGTTTTAATGCTGAGCCAGAAGAAAGCTGGATTTCAGAAGGCTAGTCTTGAAACGGAATCCATGCTAGTGGAATGGTGACTAATTCTTAAAACCTTGTTTATTTAAGAGGTGTAGAAGCTTTTTTTAAAAAAAAAGTTTAAATGTAAGCAGGAACAGATCAGCATTTTCTTCCCACTGCTCATCTTTAAAAGGATAGGAGGATTGTTTGATCAAAGGTGAAGAAGAACAGTCTCCATACAGTTAGATATAAAATTAACATCTTCATCCAAGGTGCATAGCCAGTGTATGAAACACACACACATGCAGATACGCCGAGGCTGCAGTTGTGCAGATATCAACTTGTGGTGCTTCTGATCCCTTACAGACAAGCTAATTCAGAATTTTCCTTTTTACATAGTTCAAAGGAAGGGGAACGTTGAAAGGAGCAGTGGCCAGTGTTTTTTAAGCTAAGGGCTACTTATATTGGCATGGCCAAAAAAGCAAGAGCCAAGTCCGTGCTGCCGTCTTTCTCACTCCCATGTCAGCAAGTGGCCACTGCAGCCTCTGCTTTGAAGCTTCTCCTCCCTCCTGCTGCTGCTTCATATTCTCCCTACGTAGAGAGTACCATGTGGGAGGGCCTGGGAACCATGTGATGCATCTGGGGAATGTGGCGGCCTGTCGGAAAATTGTTGTGTAGGAGAAGGCTCTCCAGAGAGTTGGGGGCTCTGCGGAAACGACCCGGAAGTGTACTCGGAGGCAATATACGAGGAGATTATTTGTGTGGTTGCTCAGCTAGGTTCTTGGATCCCTGCAGAAGGAGGAGGCATGGCAGGCTACGTCACATGGTGGTGGTTACAGCTGCCATACAATAAGCTTACAAGAACCCACTCTTACGGTGATGGGCATAAGATGCCAAACCCAAGAGGTGTCTGGGTGTCCTGTGCAGAGTGAGAGGGTGGCGGAGGCATCGTTGCCTTTCCGTCCTCCAGCCCTGTGTTTTAGTTAGATGGCCTTGAGCAAGGGCATCTCAGAGTGGGAGGGAAGGAGGCTGAAGAGGCTTCAGGATACTTCATATCCTAGTCTCCCGTCTCCTTTCCTCCCCTAAAATCCACCCCCCAAGTTCACTTTCCCAAGCTCAGAGAGCAGCTGGCACAATTCTTCCTGTGTTAGATGCATGGGGCTGAGAGAACAGAGATGTGGTCTCAGATTTGGGAACCTGGACTCTCCTATAGGTGCTTGGACAATGTCTAGGGGCCCTGGGATTGCTCTCTCTCTAGCTGTGTTAGGTCCCCCAGCCATCTGAATCTATCTGAGAGCTTAAGCACAAGTTACTTGGAGTTGTTCTAAGCAATGCCAGGCTTTTTGCTTTCTTTTAGTGTTCAAAGCTGTGGGATGGGGAAAATGGGGACAGGAGAGCATGCAGAGAGGACGTCTAACTCTTTGGTCCTCTGCAGAAAATATCTCTTTCTGCAAATAGCAAGAGTGAAAACATGAAAGTAATTGTGAAAAAAGTAGCAATCCCAGCAAAAAGGTACAGGAAACAGTAAAAAAAGTAATGCCAAACAGTAAATAAAAATGTTTTTATGATAGTGCCATGTTTACTTACTTCTTTTCAGGATTGCAGCAGGGGAAGGGACTCCAGATTGGCCCTTCTAGTGCTTGGTTTAATTTCTTTTGCACCCTGATGTCGCTTTAAACAATGCTTTGAAGTAATGTTTGGTTAGGCCTTCAGCATTAAGCATGGTTCCACATGCATCCTACATAGGACCAATCTGTACAGGCATTCATATTCCAGACCTCTCCTGAGTTCTCCCCCCCACCCCCCCAGGAGAAATATGGCTGAGTAACCATAAAGAGAAACATCCCAAAACTGAATTCCTGCACAAGATACCCTTTTTAAAATTGTTTGATAGATCCATATTATACTTGAAGCATGTTTCTGGGTTTCCGTTGCCTTTAGAATAGAATTTTAGGAGCACTGCCTTAGGGAAAAAAACCTCTAAAATTCTAGAATGCAGTGGGTGTCTGAATATAGATGTCAAATTATCTGTTTGGACAATGAATGGCCAATCTGGAATCTGGAAATTTCAGAAAAATTATCCTGTTAACAAGGCAAAAGTGCTCCGATTCATAAACCTGTTTTCAGCTATTGCCATGAAAGTCAACAGAATTGTTTCAAACACAGTCATATTTTACCAAACTGCAACTGGTACTATTTATCTATTCAGAGCATTTATACTCTGCCATATGAATCAATCGGCTTTTAACTCATTCGTTGCAACAATGTTCAGACAATATATTCTGTGAACTGTGAGTGCTCACCCTATCCTTATACCTATCTACTCTCCTGAATAGTTTCTGAGAAATGTTTTTGCCTTTTTACTATGAAGAAATCTCCTCCATGAAATGGGATGGGGCATTACATTTATCTTTTGAATGTATAGCACCTTAATTTCCAGGCACTTTATACATATTTTTCTTATCAGCAATCTCAATGGGGAACTTTCCCACTTGTAACCTCTTTATATGTTAATGCCCTCAGCAGCAAAGCAGTAACTTAAATAGAAAAGAATGGAAGACTTAGACCCTCACGGTGCAATCCTATAATGTCTACTCAGAAGTAAGCCCCTTTGAGTTCTGTTCAACTTGCTTCCAGGTCTATATGGTTGCAGTCTAAATTTACTTCAGGCTTTGATTGGTATTATAGAAAGGTCGCAGCATTTGAGCTGGAGTAGGAGGCAATGTTTAAAATCCCTTTTACCATTCCAAAGTGACCATCCAAGATGGAGGATCACTGCTCTCGGCTCTGTAGTTCTTTGCTTGGAGCCCAGTTCACATAAGCAGATTCCACAGACAGATCTGCTGAGCCATGTGTTGGGGAACATGGACTTCTATGGCAGAACTACCACCATGACTATCAGTCCCAAAGCTTTGCTGCTAGGAGAAGAGGCTGCTGGTCTTTTTTTTCCCCCTTCCTTTCCACCCCACCCATTCTGGTTAATCCACAAAAAGGACCTACATTAGACGGCTGGTATAATCAAGGTCTCCATTTTAGGCTAGAGCTGGAGACTGTATCACTGACACTCCCGCAGTCAGTATTGTAGTCCAAAACATCTGTAGGGACACAAGTTGGCCACCTCTGGCTTAAGCTGACAATTGTCCGTTGTCTGGTAATTGACACTTGCATCAACTACTTTAAAAAACACTTTTCCATTTTTTTCACAGACCCTGATTGTTTGCCATTTCATTGGGTTTGTTCCTTGTGCAGAAAAGTCTTCCTCGCTTGCTGAATGGCTGGTTGTTTTCTCATATGGTAAAACTTCTCTGTTAAATGAAGGATTCTGGCAACCTTTCACAAAATACAGTCACTTTTTGAGAAACTGTGCTTTTATGCTATGGAATGCTGGCTTTTATAGTCACCGTGCTTCTATCAAGTGATGGTAAAGCTTAGCATGGATGACATGGGGGATACAGAATCCATTATGTGGGGATAGTAAACAAGGCCCCAAACCTATCTGCCCAGTTATGGAAACAGCTGGGTGTTTTGGCGCCATGCTACATGAATATTCCACAGCATAGTAAGCCAAAGTGCTTGACTTAGAAGAAGGCCACGCACACCTTTCAACTCGACAAGGCATTTCGTGTTGACAGCTGATAACATCTTTCATTGCCAGAGCGTGATGTGACTTTTGTAAACCTGGCTGCTCCATGACACCATGGTACATTCCCATCACATGATTCATTTTTCAAGGCTGGCAAGTTATATTCTCAGGGATTTGAGCAGCAAGGCAAAAATCCTGTAGTTTTCAATGTAAAGAGAAGCTGATTGCTCTTTTAAATACGTTGTAGTTTCGTGTCAACCTTTTGTGAACTGTACTTCTATTCTAAGCAGGCTGTTCAGCACATTCTGTGTGAGACTGAAGAATCCACAAGGAATCGGACAGCTTGTGCTGTACTGTATGAACTGCTGTTGGTATGTTTCAGCTTGTAAACTGTATCTTTGTAATGTAGCTTATGACTGTTGGATTTGATTGAAGAACCAAATTTTTATTTGAGGCTTTCTGTTCCCCTCCCTCAGAGGTACTATGTATTACATTGTTTTGGTATTTTGTAATATTCCTTTGTTTTAAAATCGTTAATTACAAAAAGCAGTTTGAAAGCATGGCTGCATGTTGTCATATTCTAAAAAGCTGCAAGTTTTAATGTTAGAAATACTAATGGTTACCAGATACGTTTGAGGATCTTGAAGTTACAGAAGGATCCATAATTTAAAACGATTATTACTTTTTAAAGACAAATAGGGCATCATGGTAAAAGTCATAGCAGGAAAATTGCACCCATATTATTTTTTTTTATTATTTCCACCCTTCCCACTTCATTGATCATATTGCATGGCTTGAAAATGATCAGTACTTCTTTTGAAAGCGGTCAGCACTTTGTCAGCAACGGAGCATTTCGGCACAATCCCAGTCAAGTCTCCCATTGACCACAATGGCATGTTGACTGCAATTAACTGTTAACAATAAATCTTTTGATTTTTATTGTCTTAATGTTGCTGCAGTGCAGTGATTATTTCTAGCCATGGGAGAGCTTAGTTCAAAGTCTCACCCCTATTTAAATGAATCTTTCCTGCCTGCACAAGAGTTGTGTTCATGGATGCCAAGTGAATGTCAGTAGGTTGGTGGGACCAGTGGCATGTCTGATATCAAAGGCAGAGCCTGTACATATGTAGGACTGGCAGAGAACAGTCCTCTATTTGAAGGTGTCCTTTATTTGTCTAGTTATCCAGTCCAAGTCTGCTTTAAAGACAGTGAACCATAAGATGGGGATGCTGGGCCTCAAAATTGCCCATCATCAGTTAACACTTCAGGTTTCTTATAACACAATAATATATTAAGACACAACTAAAGCAAAATAATAGTGTAAGCAGAGGTGCTTTCATACCAAAAGCCTGCTTGAACAAAGAGAGGGAGCAAGCCCACCCTCTTCTGGCAAGGGGTTCCACAGCCTGAGAGCAGCCATCCAGATTTGCACTGGGCCAGCTATGTTGGTGGAAGGGTCTTTTCTGCCCCCCTTTCCCCAGTGCCAGCTCCAGGCCCCCAGACAAGGCTTCTCTAGCAGGTCCTTGCCCTTGCTGCGCCCACCACCATTGCCAGCAGCTGCTCCGCATTTTTCTCCTCATCACCATCATTGGCTTGCTTTGTTGTTGTTAGTCACAAAGTCGTGTCTGACCCATCGCGACCCCATGGACAACATTCCTCCAGGCCTCCCTGTCCTCCACCATCCCCCGGAGTCCACTTAAGCTCACACCAACTGCTTCAGTGACTCCATCTAGCCACCACATCCTCTTCCGTCCCGTTCTTCTTTTGCCATCTATTGTTCCCAGCATTAGGCTCTTCTCCAGGGAGTCCTTCTTTCTCATTAGGTGGCCAAAGTATTTGAGTTTCATCTTCAATATATGGCCTTCTAAAGAGCAGTCAGCAGTCAGATCTCCTCTAGGACTGACCGGTTTGATCGCCTTGCAGTCCAAGGGACTCGCAGGAGTCTCCTCCAGCACCACAATTCAAATGCCTCAATCCTTTGGTGCTCAGCCTTCCTTATGGTCCAGCTTTCACAGCCATACATTGCAACTGGGAAGACCATATCCTTGACTATTCACACTTTTGTTGGCAGGGTGATGTCTCTGCTTTTTAATATGCTGTCTAGATTTGCCATAGCTTTCCTCCCAAGGAGCAAATGTCTTTTAATTTCTTGGCTGCAGTCCCCATCTGCGGTGATCTTAGAGCCCAGGAAAATAAAATTTGTCACTACCTCCATTTGTTCCCCATCTATTTGCCAAGAAGTGAGAGGACCAGATGCCATGATCTTAGTTTTCTTAATGTTAAGTTTCAAGCCAACTTTTGCACTCTCCTTCACCAGCATCAAGTGGCTCTTTAGTTCCTCTTCACTTTCTGCCATTAGAGTGGTATCATCTGCATAACTGAGGTTGTTGATAGAAATCCAAGCAATCTTAATTCCAACTGGTGATTCATCCAGCTCCGCCTTTCTCATGATGTGCTTTGCATATAAGTTAAATAGGCAGGGTGACAGTCTACAGCCTTGCCGAACTCCTTTCTCAATTTTGAACCAATCAGTGGTTCGGTGTCCAGTTCTCACTGTTGCTTCTTGACCCGCATATAGGTTTCTCAAGAGACATATAAGATGGTCTGGTACTCCCATCTCTAAGAACTTGCCACAATTTGTTGTGATCCACACAATCAAAGGTGTTAGCATAGTCAATGAAGTAGAAATAGATGTTTTTCTGGAACTCCCAAGCTTTCTCCATGATCCAGTGTATGTTGGCAATTTGATCTCTAGTTCCTCTGCTGCTTTGAAATCCTGCCTGTACTTCTGGTAGTTCTCAGTCCACATACTGCTGGAGTCTAGCTTGTAGGATTTTGAGCATAACTTTGCTAGCATGTGAAATGAGTGCAGTGGTGCGGTAGTTTGAACATTCTTTGGCATTGCCCTTCTTTGGGATGGGAATGTAAACTGACCTTTTCCAATCCTGTGGCCACTGTTGAGTTTTCCAAATGTGCTGGCATATTGAGTGTAGCACTTTTACTGCATCGTCTTTTAAGATTTTGAATAGCTCAGTTAGAATAGTGTCACCTCCACTAGCTTTGTTGTTGCTCAGACTTCCTAAGACCCATTTGACTTCACATTCCAGGATGTCTGGCTCGAGGTCAGTGACCACCCCATCATGGTTATCAGGGACGTTAAGCTCTTTCTTGTATAGTTCTGTGTAATCTTGCCACCTCTTCTTAATCTCTTCTGCCTCTGTTAGGTCCCTGCCATTTTGGTCCTTTATCATACCCATCTTTGCATGAAACGTTCCCTTCATATCTCCAATTTTCTTGAAGAGATCTCTGAGCCAAATAGTGAGCAAAGGGCAATTCCTCCATGCCATGAGATGGGCCACAGGGAGAGGCAGCTGAACAAGCAGGCTGCAGAGGCGAGGAGAAGGAGCAATTCAGGAGGTTCTTGTCGGTGGACTCCTCCTGGAGGGCAAGCCCTCAGCAAACACCTGGCCCGGCTGGCCTTGGAGCCCTCACTTCCACACAAGTATCGATCTTGCTGCACTGGGGTGCTGGTTTGAAAAAATACAGAGGAGGCCTTCTGGTGGTACTGCTTTATTTATTTATTTATTTATTTATTTAGAAAGCTTCTATGCCACCCCATTCGCCGAAGCCTCGGGGCAGCTCACAACAATAAATAATTATAAAAACAATATAATTGGACACGACCTAGCCAAAGATGTAAAATAAATAAATAATATTGGCCATTAAAATGGCGTTTAAATAAAAAGGGCTTTGCCTGGCGCCAAAAAACAAATAACGATGGCGCCAAGTGAATCTCTCTGGGGAGCGCATTCCATAGATTGGGCGCCACCGCAGAGAAAGCCCTCCTCCGAGTACCTACCCTCCTAATATCCTTCACAGAGGGTTCCCAGAGATGGCCTCTCCAGCTGATCTCAAGGACATCTTGGTTAACTGCACAGCTACATGCTAACAGAAGTCAGTTGAACGTGGTTTATCTGTAAGGGCTCTCCTCAATCTGGGGAATTGTGGTCTTAAGATAGTGCTCAGAACAGATTGCTAGAGAAAGACAGATTCCTGCTGTTAGTGTCTCTAAGTATGCAGGACTGGCTCTATTGCAAGGTACAGAGCAAGTGTGGTGTAGCAGTGTGGTGTTGGACTGGGATGCAGGGAATCCAGGTTCTAGTCTCCAGTAAGCCCTGGACCTCATTGGATGATTTGGGGCCAGTCAGTGTCTCTCAGCCTGACCTACCTCACAGGGTTGTTGTGAGAATAAACTGGAGAGGAGGAGGAAGAGAATTAAATTAGCCAGCTTGAGGTCCTTGTATGAGAAAAGGCAAGATATAAATGCAACCAATAAGATTCCCAAGCCTCAGAAATATGAAAGTAATAAGAGGGGCTTAAAATAAACTGCCAGAGTACAGTTTTTCTTCAGGGCTCCAGCCAGTTGTATCATCTGGGATACTCTGTTCAGTATTTCCCTCAGTAGCCCTCTGTGGCTATTTGGCATGCTTGGTTTGAGTCTCTCTCTTCTCACAGACACACCATCACACACACACACTTGGATTTGTGCACAGCTAGTGCTGTTTTGGCAACGTAACCCACACTTGGAGAATGTTGTAATCATAGATGTGACCCAAGGCTGATATGAGTGGGGAAGCATTATTATGACTCCATAACAGAACCGCATGAGAACAAATCAAGGAACTGGGCTGACAGTTTAATTATCTGAGAATGTCACCTTTCCAAAAAAGCAAGTTTCTAGCCCTTCTTGCTGTGGTAGACACTGGTTGACAGCAATTCTGTTTGAAATTACATTTTAGTACCTACTGCAGAGAGGGGGCCCAGCACTCACACTGTGGTGTGTGATACTTGGGTGGGGCAGAGTAGCAATGATGGGGCAGGTCTGAAATCAACCACATGGTTCACCTGGACTAGGAAATATTCTGAAATTGGGTTGCCCTGCAGTGGTCATTCTTTGGAACGGCAGCCTCCTGATCCCATTATCAGACCTTTAAAATCTCAGTGCTGACACTGGGCTGCCCTCCCAAGGCCAGTACTGGGACTTGCAGCCTACTGATTCTATTGGAGAGAAAATGTCACCGCTTACACTGGGCTGCCCTCCAGCGGACAGCACTGGGAACTGCAGCCTCCTGGACCCATTAGTTAGGATCCCATTGCAGTTCCCTTCCATGGCCCAGACCTGGAATGGTATCCTCCTGAATTAACAGCTCAGTGCTGACACTGAGTTATCTTCCAGGAGCCAGTAGGCCAGCCTTCTGATCCCATTTTTTGTTTAGCTGCTAAGTCGTGTCTGACCCTTCATGACCCCATGGACAACATGCCTCCAGGCTCTCCATTAGCAGGTTTGAATCTAAGGGCTGACACTCAGGAAGCAGTATTCAGCCGCTCAGGTCACGTGGGTCATTTGCAGCCCACCTCCTCAAGATATTTCTGAGGAGGAGGTGGAAGGACAGAGTTGGCAGATGACTTTTCAGTGTCAAGGTTACCTAGTGAAGACTCTCAGACAGGATGTTAGAACAAGCCTGTCTTGGAAAAGCAGGGAGACATTTCAGAACTGGGGGTGAGATGGAGAGGGAGTTCCTTGACCTAGGCAGGAGACAACCGGCAAAACAAGCAGGCCCATTAAGATGCGTCTGGCATTTCTGCTGCCCAGCCCTCAAGCAGCAGGGACCACCCTGAAGGTAGAGTCAGACCCTTTTTTGGAAAGGGAAGGAAGCAGGGGAATATTCAGCTTAGAGACAACTCTTTACATGCACAGATGCTTCTCTCACACTTCAAAGAGAATGCTGCTTTGATTTACTCTTATGTAACCTGTTAAGCCTTAAGAACAGGACTGTGCTTCTAAAGCCCAAAGAGGGAGTGAGAGGCTTGGGCTTCAGTGAAGAAGCAGCGATACAGCTTGCTCTATAGTGCTGTTGTTACGTGCCATCAAGCTGTCTCCAATTTCC